TTACGCTGTTTCTTGTACACCGTGTACTCTTCATCACAACCCGAGCTGATGTATCTACCCCAAAGTTTGCGACGTCGTCGCGCTAACTGTCTAGATTCCGTATCACGTCTGATTCTTGACTACTCAAAGCGAATAAACGCAGTACACAGCGAGTTAAGCTTCCGCTTCATTAATGACCAACACGTCTCAAGCGACACATCATGTGGCAGTGCCCAATCAGTCTGACTTGCGGTTTGGACGAGTCCGTTGAAGTCCGTCTTCCAGTAGTTGAATGTCGGCTTCCGTTGGTTGTAAGGCGGTAACGACAGTTCTCTGCACGCCACAATGGAGCAGTGGTCACTGTTCGAAAGAGGTTCGAGGACTCTGACAGCATTCAGCTTCTGCTCGCAGCGCGTAAACCTTAGGTCCAGACAAGATGCCGAGTGCGGAGTTATGCACGTCGGTTGGTTGCCACGTTGTGTTGCCCTAATTTGAGTTGTCATATTAGCGGATGGAGCCACAATGTTTCCATAACCGGGTAGAAGCTGAACGTCTGGCCAGAATATCTTAGGTAACTTTAAATGCCCATCAATAAGAACTGGCGAGGGCTCATGTGCTTCTGTACGTGTGGTAGCCAATCGCAACAACGGTTTAATGGGCTACGGTAGATAACACCCACTATTAGTTCTGCGCGTCTGAAGCGGATTGTGCATCACAATTGTTCGCATAAACTATCCTCGCTCCGATAGGTGCTGGTAAGTTTGCCAGATAGTGACGATTTTATGTATAACAGAACACCACCGTGAGCTTTTGATTTTTCGGTTGCATCGGAAACAAGAGTATCCTGACAACACGACTACTTGGGGTATGAGGTCGGAGTTCAGCGAAGTCTCTGCAAGTCCAAAAACGTCCGGCCGCTCCGAGACAGCGAAGCGGCACAGTTCGTTACGTTTGTTCATTAGGCTGCACACGTTGGCGAATGAAACACCGAGGGCCTGGGAGGTACCGTGGGACGTACCTGGAGGATGAGTAATCGGTTGATACGGGTTCGTACATCCTTCTTGATCACGTGAAAATTTACAAGTTGCAAGTCAGTCTCACCTTCCAAGTGGCATTTGGTGTACTCGTTGTGTGGTTGGATTGTGACTCGCAATCTCTATTCAGACCTCGGCCGTCTTTGAAGTAGACCTCGGTCATTACGATCACATGGACCGTAACCGAATTGGTGGTTCAGTGTTGCTCCACCCAACTCTGACACCCCATAACCGGTTGCGTCCTCCTTTGGTTATGGGGTGTCAGGGTTGGGTGGAGCAACACTGAACCAACAATCAGTCTCATCTTCATCTGTAAGGAGTTTGAGTTCAATGACCGCAGTCTTCAAACGATCCCTGTCTTCGGGTTCCAAGGCTCAGCGGATGTGAACCTTTAGGCCATTCAGCCTTGACAAACGAGACAGTATGAGCTGCGGCATATTGTGATTTGCGAAGGTGATACTCAGAGGTCGACAAGACTGGTTAGTTTCCTGGCCAAGTAGGATGAGAAGATTGACGGCTACGAAATTTGCGAGCTAACTATTTATAAATATGGAAGGGTGGATAGTGTAGATTTCTTGCAACCACATCGCAGTTGGGCTACGCCAAGAGTGTGCAAATTTTCGCAAGGAGGAACACATGTTGTGAGGCAAAAAATGTCGTGCAATATTCAGTCCGACATAAAGATAAGCACCAAAAATGACATCATATAAATTATGTACTACAAATTTTTAATGTGTCCGCTGGTGGCCGAGTGGTCTGCACGTTTGGTTTGCAACCATAAGGTCACCGGTTCGAATCCGCGTAAGGGTGGGCGTCCTCGCGGTATACTCAGCCCGCGCGCGACTGGTGGTGGTGGCGCGGCAGCGGAACGCCGTTACGGCGTACAGCTGCCACATTATCATTATTATCATTTAATGTGGATGGCGAAATTGAGGGCTGGAGATTTTTTTATAAATTGAGATTTAGCTAAGACCCTTTAGAAAAAGCGCCAGATTGAATTTTCTTAGTTGGCTGAAAATAAACAATACTGCATCCCTGGAATTTCGCCAGCACCTGACGACATCAAATTATGTTATCGTTCCGTCCTAAATTTTTTGTAATTTACATAATGTCGTCTGTACGGAAAAAATGCAAGCTTGAATGTAACATTTCATGAGGTGGCCATAGGGCAACTGAAATTTTAACACGGGCCGCATTTGGCCCGCGGTCCGGACTTTGGACATCCCTGGGGTACACCGACTTAAGCTAGATCTCCTTCACCTGGATAAAAGTATACCTCTTTAGTTGATTGACTCAGTTCTGTTATTCTGCTACAAATTAAGCGTCAATTTTGTATGCTTATTTTCCTACAAATTCTGTTTCATTGTCAGATATCCTAAGTGTAGCTGCACTTGATGTGAATGTGGACAAGGTGCCTAGCTGTCAAATCACCTCCATCTCGATTACTGCATCCTGGAGACTGCTAACTTGTTGCTGTGAAGGACGGGGTTCACGGCCTTCGTGGCAGTGCCAGACTAAAAGAGTGGTTCTCCTCAGAGTGGAGCAGGTTACGGCCCGCCACCACCTGTATTTCTGATATGCACCGTTCCCTACAGATATAGAGAGAAATGCTGCCGCTGCTGCTGTGCATATCGAAGGAGTACGAGCCAACTCAGTTGATTAAATGCGGCTCCCATCCGAATGCTTCCGTCGTATTCCTTCGGGTTTGCACTGGATATGGGGTGCGCGCACAGAGCTATGAACGGCGCAGCGCAAGCCACCCATAGTCACAGTATAGACGCGAGCGTCTTGTGACTGTACCCATGTAGCCCGGAGCCGAATGCAGCAAAGCGTTTGAATATATATATATATATATATATATATATATATATATATATATATACATGTTCATTAATGTCCACCTGGAATTTTCTATCAACTTGCACACGTCGCTCAGGTTAATAGTAGTGACCTTTAATAATATTTTCCCGTTTGTGACATTTTCTTAAAAGATTTTTCTGATCTCTTGAAGAGATAGCGGACTTCTTGGCAACCAATTATTTCATATGCTCATACGTTGTGTCCCAAGCTGAGGCTGATGTTGCAATCACGATGCTTCTCCATCGTACTCGGGCTAGACCAACTTACACTTACACGAAATCTTTTAAAGCTGGATAAATTTAATTCCACTTTATTTGGTTTGTTCTACCTACCTGAGTAATCTTCTATTAACTCGCCATGTTGCATACACTAATTTTGGATATCTTCGTTAAGTTTATTGCGTTTGTAGCATTTTTATATAACTTATGGACATTCCGTACTTATCTCAGATTCGTTGCTAACCAACGTACTTAATATGCTAATTTAGAGAAGAATTATGTTTGCTTAGCCGTATGCTTTAACATATATACTTTATTTGATAATGTTATTTAAAGCGATTGGCTGTTGCTTGATATCCCTGGTGTGGCTGCGCTTGATGTGCATACTGACAAGGTGCCTACCTGTCTGTTTCCCACTACCTCGTCTATACTCGCTCCAGGAGACAGTTGGTCGTTGCTGGAGGGGACGGGGTGCACGGTCCTTGTGATCGTGCTAGGCTCGAAGAGGGGTTCCATTCACTTAGTGTGGAGCGGACTACGGTCCAGCCACCGCCTTGTGTGCGCTTCATTCCCCAAATACAGTGTGTTTGTGTTCGCCTGTGAAGGAGTGTGGACCGGCTCCATTGATGTAAAGTGGCTCCAATCCACATGCCTCCCGGTCTTATTCCTTCGGGTTTACATTGGATATGGGATGTGTGGTTGGAGCTGTGGGTGGTGTAACGCAGGCCACACGTGATCCCTCTGTAGGCGCAGGGGTCCTGTGGCTGATCACAGTGACAGGCAAATCCGTAACTGGATGTCGCCACATATATATATATATATATATATATATATATATATATATATATATATATATCATTGAGCCATGCAAAGCCATGGTGATTTAACTAGGAACAGGAATATGTACAGCGATGCTAAAATGTTATCTTATTTTTAGGAAGTAAGTATTTTGTAAGCGAGAGTTCACGCAGACTTGCGCGCATTGTTTCCACTGCAACCGATTTTTGTGACATTGTTTCGGCACTCTTCCGCATTCTTCATCTTGCGGTACCCAACCGAGGAGGCGTACCTGACCAGCATTTGATAAACAGGATGTCAGCGATTTGATGCTTTGTCGCCAGGTGGTCGGCTGGCACCCACGCGGCCTGTTCCAAAGCAACCCTGCATGTACAAATAAGGTGCGGCGTGACAACCGGTCACCAGACATGTGCAGGACGTGGGCGAGCCATCCCAACTGGCGCAATAAAACAAGCTCATAGAGAGGGAGATCGCGTCTGCTATCGTCATTGCGCACCCGGTGTTGCCACGATACATGGACGATCCTCTGCAGACAGCCGTTGTCCAAGACCGAATGCCTATGCATATCATTCACACAAATCGACGAGGAGCCGCATCCGTACAAAAGTATCCTGCGAACACATGCATCGCAAACCCAGCCTTCGAGCAAAAGCGAGATGTCGCGACGACGCCACAAGCACCTCAAATTGGCAAAAGCCTAGCGGGCTTTAGCGATACGGAGGATTATCGCTTCTATAATAGTTCAATCATTAGAGACACTGCTCTCAAGGTAAACAAAACTATCCACCTGCTCAAATCAGGTGTTTCCGATGGTGAGCCTAGGGAGAGCATTATTCTAAACCTGCGCCAGCACTTTGCACTGTGAGGGGACAAAGCACATACTTAGACGTTTCAACTACCAGTCGGTTAAGGGTCAAATGCATACCATGAGGGTTGTCACCAAGCAAGGCAATATCATGGGCGTAATCTAAGTCGGTTGCACGATTACCCATAAAATGCTCGATTCCATAATTGTGTGTGTGTGTTGGTAATGTCTTAAATTATTTGTCGTGTGCAGCCCGCAGAACACAAATGTGGTCCATGAGACCCTCAGCACTACGGCATAACTTGCCTTCCAAATAAGCGAACAGACCCATCTCACGCCCAAGTTGACAGCGATGTTTCCAACATTCCAGTTTCACGTTGGGACCCGTTTTGTCCTGAGTAGACAAGTGACGCCCTGTCAAACGAAACGGATCCAGATTCGACTTCTTCTTATCAGCTCGTACGAAATCAATGGGAAGCAGATCATTCTCGGAGATAGACAAGTCCCCAATACGAATTGGGTCAAGCCAAACAGCGCCACCATCGGTGAAATAGTACAACTCATTGAAGAGAGCCGACTTGTACCAATCAGGCAAGCTTCTGGGGTAAAGAAATGAGAAGAAGTATGGTCTTTAGTACACCGTAGGCACGGAAAACGAGTATGGACAAACTCAAATGTGTGGTGAAACTCTAGGAATACAGGATGCTCCAAAATTTTATCATCATCATCATCATCAATCATCATCATCATCATCATCATCATCATCATCATCATCATCATCATCATCATCATCATCATCATCATCATCATCATCATCATCATCATCATCATCATCATCAGCAGCAGCAGCAGCAGCAGCAGCAGCAGCAGCATCAATACACGTTACTTTAGGGTGAGAAACACACCTCAGCTAAAGTGATGTAATACAAAAATTCGAAGCAGGTCTAATAGTATATTACGTAATTCGTATGAGATCGGAATTGGAGGGGGAATGTAAATAGGAGGGAGATGGACATAGAAACACAACACAAACGTCACTGGGGCTGGCTCTTCGCCATATCTACAAGTGTGTCCAAGCAAACGTCGTCCTTCGGACCCCAGCTAGGCAGTCGGGATACACCAACCGACACCAACTTCGAGGTGAGGGAGTTCATTCCTCTCGACCAAGTCATCGCTTGGCCTCCCCTCCTCCTCTTCCAACCGCACCCTTGGCGCGCAAATAATGCACGTCGCGTTGGTCGGTGTGCTGGCATGCGCAACACGTGGCCCAGTCATCGGAACCTGGTGAGTGATATATTGGTGCTGAGCGGTTCACTGGCTTCCTGCAATGAATACGCGACGCCGAACACGCTCATTGCTCATGCGGTGCTCCCACCAAACATGAGCTTAGCTGCAAAGGCAGCAATGTTCAAATGTGACTAGACTCTTTTTGTCTGTCGACCTGATGGGCCAGGTTTCACAACCGTACAAGAGAGTTGAACGGACGGCTGCATTATAAACTCTGCCCTTCAGAACGAGAGTGATGTCGCGTCTGCGCCACAGGTGGCGGAGACTGGCAAACGTACCTCGAGGTTCTGTTATACAGTTCGCAATCTCATCTTCTATCCCACTGGATACAGAGAACGATTGCACACTGGCAATAACGTTTTGCATTTCTGAACCCTGCGAAACTTTGTCAGACATTCTAAAAAGACACATAAGTACGGAGTGCAGGTAATTTTTATAAAATTTTTGTCTATATCGCGAAGGAGTTGTACAAATTTATATTTTTACTTGATCCAACATATAGTATTCAGCATTCTAGGTGCGCTGTTTTGCAGGCTCATATGCGTATTGTAGGCAAACAAATCAATTACTGAAAATGAATTAATTCACTGCCCACTCAATAATTGGTCGCTGATTTCTAACCAATAGTGACCAGGCAATTAGTTAAATGTTTTGATACAGATGATTTCGTTATTATGTTTGTTTGGCGATATATTTTTGACACAATAATCGGTTATATATACCTCAGTAAAATTCCATTCTACCCGCTTGGAGGTAATCACCCCAAGGTTGAGAACCACTGTTTAAAATGGATAGTCAAAGATAAAGAAGCAGTTACTGAAGGAACTGACACACTATTTCAATTTCCGAGATGGAATCTATGATGGTTTGCTGTTCAGTGAAATTCGCATCCTGATCCCATCATTGCTCCGGGTAGAAATGCTGAAATACGTTCATCGCGCTCACCAAAGACATCAGCAATACGTCGATACGCCGCACCGACGCTTCGATGCCACGCAACCACCACCAACCGAACGAGGGCCAAGAATACTGCGACGGGTCGCGTGGTCCCATACATAGGATCAAACACGCGATCTCAGGGTTACAAGGTATACAGTTTGTCTTTCCGGACACGAGCCGGCTCACCTGGGTGCCAACTGTATCATTAGCCGAGCCAGGAATGACAGGTCGAATCAGTGATCATGTGTCGAATTGTGAGGTGTCCCATGCATAAGAAATCCGGCAGACGAGGGAAACAATGATGCCGCATGATGTCCCTGACCGACCGTGCCAGAGTGGCGATGGATTTATTCTGGGACAACGAGGAAGATTACTTACTCATGGTGGATTATTATAGTGATTATTTTGCTATTGATCTACTAGCCACTTCGAACAAAGGCAGTAATTAACAAACTCAGATGTCAATTCGCGCAGCAAAGTATACCGGAGGAGCTGTTTTGCGACGATGGTACCCAGTTTACCAGCGCTGCACTCCAGACCCTCACAGGCAAATTGGACTCCATGCGCCTGCAAACAAGCCCAAATCGCAGTCAAACAAATGGAAAGACGGAGTCGGCAGTAAAGCAACCCAGACGAATGTGATCAAAGGCTAGAGAAACTGGTGAAGACCTGTATTTCATGTTACTACAGGATCGCAACACTCCTACAACGGTGCAGCGACTATACAAACGGATGACTAGAATTCTGATGTTTGAATCTACCACACTTTTATGCCCAGTTTTACCACAATATAAAATAACCACAAAACAGTCTGAGAAGAGGAATGACCACTCCGAAACAGTATTACGACCATGGTGCACGAGGACTATCTGAACTGACATGGGGAGGGACGTATGGGTTCCACCAGTACCTGGTAGTCAAGAGCGGTGGAAGAAAGGCAACTGCGAAGGTCGGTCCAACGCCAAACGAAATAAATGTTTGAGCGAAAACGCTAAGTGTGGAAACCGAATGCAGTTGAGACGACACCGGAGACAATAATGTGGATTGGGAGTGGAGCGCCCTATAGTATGTGGCAAGGAGACCAATGAGGCAGACCCAGCGAAGAGGAGGCGGAGTAGAGAAATGCGCGGAGTACCTAGCAATATGGAGGCGCAAGGACACGAAAAAAGTAGGAGGATAAGATTAGTGTCCTATCAGAGTGATCGGGTGGATTAAATGAAAGAGCTAAACAATCAATTGGAGATGGACCTAACGGATTCGATCACTGGATCCGGATTGGCCCATCTTCGTGTGAGCTAATCACTGTTTGTTTAACTGAGTCAAAAGAGGAACCTCATCGTTATGGAACTGAACGGACAATTTATATCGGGGAGTTTGGCTCGTCATATATACTGTAATTCTCGCTGAGTTGACTTTGCCGAATAAATGCTTGTCTGCGAAGGGATGAGTTCTGCGACACCATTCACCACAGCTTTAACGGAGATGGTTCCAGCGTATGACGATGCAGTGACGACAGATGGTCTCATACAACGTCAGCAGTGGTCAGACGTTTCATCCCACAGAACAAACTGGAATGCAACATGATAATAGAAGTACAGGAGACTGGTTTGGCAGTTCAAATGACGTGTATCGTTCAGAGTAATGGAAGTGAATTAAAACATCATGCACCGGTGTGGAAAACGCGAGATGACCCAAGGTCGTGCTCTAAGGAATGTAGCTGATACGTACATTCGGCAGGACAAGTGCCTACTTCGTACGAAATTGACGCCAGCTGATGTGGTGAAACCTGCGTAGATACACTCACTCATTCTTTAAAACAGGATCTTGCCATTGTTTGATCTTCTTCACCCAGTTAGGCCATTCCATTAACGCGTGTTCTAACAAGCATTCAGCTCCCAACATTCCTGGTTGAGGATACCACCGGGCGTAGCGTCTGTAGGGGAGAAAAAGGAAATAACTGGTATCGGTGCACAAATTTCCCAAAAATGAACGACTACATGTGAGGTCTCGATTACAATTGCAGCCAAGCAAGCCAGTCCCTCAATTGCGATGACACAAAGGAAATGCGGTGAACTAGAAACTCCGAATAAACAGGATTTAACGTCAACCAGCAGCAAAACGGTATAGTGCGGCAAGTCTCATGTGGGCTGCTAGTGTCGGTAGACTTGAAAACCAGCGCAAAGATCAATGAAACGATAGGAGGATATAATACGAATAAAAATCCTCAGGCTTCACAAATCCTGTGGACGGACCACGTGTGCTAAAAAACTGATAGCAAAGGAAACCGCGCATTTTAGGGCTCACCATGGTTGACAGTATCCTGTTCCGGATTCGCCTATCAAGGCACTCCGTAGGGAGAGTCACAGGACGCCTGCACACACAAAAGGACGATGGGTGGATTGCGCTGCACCACCCACAGCTCCATACACACACATCGTATCCAGCGTAAACCCGAAGGGATAAGACCGGAAGACATGTGCATGGGAGCCACGTTTCATCAGCCGAACCGGTCTACACGCCTTCAGTATGCACAGAAGCAGCATTCCTATTTGTCTAAATTGGAAAGCATATGTACCAGACGTGTACAAGGCGGTGGTTTGCTCGCAACCCGCTCCACACTGAATGAAACCAATTACTGAGATTAGCACTGTCACGAAGACTGTGCAACGGTTTTCAATCTCCTGGAGTCGGTATATTTGAGATGGTTTTTGACAGAAAGCCACACCGGGGATAACAATCAAGCAACCAATCAACAACCTCGAACTGTAAGAAACCCAACATGCATTCACACCAACAAACCTAATGCAACGATGATGTAGCACACGTGCCCTAACGACCGCAATATTGGCCTGGATTAGTACATCGAATCGGAAGCAAGGTACTTAAGAAGCGCTGCGCGAATGAATCATCATCATCATACTACACGTTAGCTGGATGTGGGGAACACCTCAGCTACTGTGCCGCAATGCATAGAAAAAAAGGAGAGAAAAAAAGCAACTGGTGCAAGCTGGCTGAGTTACCGGTAACGGATGAGCATCGTTCCGGTAAGCTACCAGCCGGATGCTGTGCACCAAAAAAACAATTACTATGCAAAATTATATAAGGCTAAATAATGAGATTGTGGTTGGAGGGGGAGGCTAAGAGGGGTGGGGTGGGACAAAGAAACTCACACCACGAACGCCACTGAGGTCAGCTCCTAGCCATATCAGCGTGTCCAACCATACATAATTAGTTTACTCTTTTCTAAGATGATGGTTCCAAGTGGTCAAACTAGTGGCATGCCAGAGAGGCTTGGCTCAGGCAGTTGTGACCCCCAGCTACTACAGCACCATGCGCTTGAAATCGAAGGGCGACTGTCGCTTCCGTACCCGGCGTTACTTTGCCGCATGCAACAGTGGTTTCTCATACATTTGGGCAACCGCCTTTTTAATCAGCTAACGCCATTCGCGTCGATCAACTGCCTTTGATTCCCAACCCCTGAAATCATAATTAGTTCGTGTGAAACTCATCATGATCAGATACAGGCAATGTAACTTCGATTATTCGATATTCCGCTTCCGTGCAGTAAGTTGTCCATATAGAAGCTGCTTAAGTATCCATATGGAATCCATGCGGCTGATATGCCTGATCCACATCAGTTGCCGCAACAGAAGTATGTTGTCCATTGCATACATACCACTGCGGCGCAGCACTTCCGTGTCTGCAACTCTGTAGCATCAAACGACGCGCGGAATCCCAAGTAGGCAATGTTGACAGAAGCGCTCCAGATATCTGATATTCTTCCGGTTCATCAACCAGGTTTCGCTGTCGCACAGACGCGTGCATCATCAGCTTCGTTCCAACAGTTAGGTGAACATGGTTCCATATACGTTTATCCAGATTCGCTATTGCGGTAGCTACCTCCGATACGCGGATACGCAGCTCGTTCGCAATCTGCAGATCGATAGACATTACGCTGCAAACGTAGCGAAATCTCGAATTGGTTTGAAAAACGTCGTTCCCAATGTGGATTTGCGATAAGCCCACGAATTCCATTTATGGTGAAGGCTGAAAAGGACAGTCTCGCTTGTGTTGATGGTGAATCCGAACTTGGCCATTGTCGAAGCCATGTGCTGCAACTCATCCACGCTGTGTGCAAACAACGCGCAATCGTTCACAAACAGCAACATACAGATAGTTGTCTCACGCAGTAAAGATCTCGCCCCAAAACGACGGATATTTGGCAGTTCACAAACAATAAGGTGCTGCATCCGGACACCGTAATCATAAGCAGCATCAAAAGCATAATACATCGTTGCATTAAGGCAAATATTAAACAGGGTGGGAGCTAAGGCGTAGGCTTGCTTCACACAAGAGACAAATGCAAAGTTATTCAAGGTCTGTTCACTCAGCTGCACCCTAGCCCGCATACCGTTGTGCAGACATACAATTAGACTTACAAACGGGCTCGGACAACCAAACTTACCCAACACCAGCCACAATGCCTCGCGTTTCACCTTATCAAATACCTTGGTGAAGTCAACAAACAGCAAATAAATTGGCTGGCGTCGCCCCCAACATTTCTCTTACAACTGACAAGTTATCAACACCATGCCTTTGGTGCTGTGGTCCGAACAGAATCCACATTGCTCTTCAGCTACGTGTGGTTCAACGATCTAAATGGCGAAGTGGTTGAACAGGATTGGAGCAATCACTTTGACCACACAACTCAGCAAGTTGATATCACAATAACTCATGTAACAGCGCACTTTGCCCTTGAACAGTGATATCACAAGAGCGTCCTTTAAGTCAGCCGGCATCTCTTCTACAAACTACACGCGCTGCAGCGCATGCATTTAAGGGAGTCCGCCGAGTTTCAACACTACAAGCGGTATTCCGTCGGCACCTGCACACCTGCCGTTTGGAAGCGGAGCGAGTGCTCTCTGCTTCTCACACAGTGTCATTGTGTTAGTAAGACACATTTGTACAAGAGACAGCCGAAGTGCTTTAGGTAGATTTGCATTACACCTGCAATGTGCGTGGAGGGAGCGCTGAAGCAGCATCCACCAGCGTCCTCAGCCGCTGCAAGATGGGTCTATACACGGTATACAAGGATTCAAAGAATTCCTTTTGTTTGCGCGTCCATCATAGTATTCCAACTGCTTCGCATTCTCCGTCCACCATGTATTTTTAATGCGACGGAGCTCTCGAGTCAGTTAGTGTCGAAATTCGCGAAAATGTCTCCTTCTAGCAGTCGCCAGGGTAATCCACGTGTGCAGCGAAAGCTGCGTTCTTTTCAGACACCAAGGCACTAATGGTCGTATTGTTGTCGTAAAGCCAATCGGGTCGCTTACAGGTTGCGCGCCCGATGTTTACCTTGGCAGCAGCCGTCATGTGTTCACGTGGTGCCCAAGATCGCTCACTGAGACTACTGATTCGACATCAACAAGACGAGTAGCCGTCGCCTTCTGCAGTTTTATCCGCTTCTTAGCAGTAGCTAGGTAAAGAACGTTACCTTTCCGCAGGTTCACAGCAGGAGTGCAATACATAGATTTACAAAATATATTTACAATTTGGCCCGCACCAATTTGTGATCGAAACAACATTCAGCTCCACGCAGTACATGTGTCATGCGCACTTCACGCATGCCACGCAGGCGTACGATGACAAAATCGAGCAGGTGAGCGTGACCACTCCGTGGGTGCGTCCAAGTAACAGTACCACTCGTACCCATTGCATACCAGGTGTTGGTGATCGTCAGGCCGTGAGCGGCGCACTGTGAGGACAGCCGGTCGCCGTTCACGTCGACCGTACCAATACTATACGGACCGATGACGTCCGTCCACACCGCGGCATCACGCCGAACGCGTGCGTTGAATTCACCCATTAGAAATAATCGGTCACTCCTCGGCACAGACCGTATCACAGTGGATAACAGCGTAAAATTGATCCCTTGGGTCATCAGGATAACACATGGTGGGACTATACGTGCTAATAAAGGTGGCAAATTTACCTCTTCCAAGTCGCAGACGTAGGCTGACGCCAGTTGGTTCATCCCCCAGCTGGCCATTTAGGCGATCGAACTGTGCAAATCCAACCCACGGTCACGTGGTGCTAAGGTGGCACCCCCCACCTATTAAAAGATGCAACCAGCACCAGCCTGATGCAACTTGCCTTGATTAGCGAGCCGAGTCTCGCCGAGTACGGCAACATGGATCATATAGCGCACGAACTCCACAGCGACCAGTGCCGTGCGTCGCTCGGGGCGCTCACTCGTGTTCTGGTCGATCAATGTACGCACGTTCCAGCACCCGATGTTGGGTGTTTTGCGCGGAGAGGCATACGATTGCGTTAGCGGGCAACTGTAAGGATGGTGACGATCTGGATGGGAGGAAGTAGTGGGTCTGATGAAACGGGGACGGGGAGAATATGTGCAGTGGACGAAGAAAGAAGAGAGGCGTCAGCGTGACCATCATATAACAAGCTCCCAATATAAATTGACTAATATTCTATTGGTGTTAATAGAGAAATCTTCGCTACGGATAACTGCTGTCTTGCTGAGTCCGGTTATAAGACTCCGGCACGGCACAACGATTGATTTCAAAGCAAACAGATTCCGAAGGTAAAGTCACATTACGCTTATCATGAGGCAAGGCAGATGAATCCAAGGAAGCGCGACTTGACTGGTTCCCAGTCAACAATCGGCGGAGCTAGTAAGTTTCTCATTCACTGACCTAAGATGTGCTTCCGCACATTAAGTCCAGTAGAGATATTATCAAAACAGCAGCGCTATTACTGATGACTCGCCGCCACGAATGCAACAGCGATTGTGTGACGGCTGGGACACCGCAAAGGCATCAAAAAGTGCAATATTGAATGCTTTTGTCAACGACCGGTTTCTCCAGAAATACGTCGCAAGGACAACGTGGTGCTTACCAGGGAGTAAAACGCACAAGGCTTGAGGTTAACGAAGGTGAACTCGATGGTTAGAATAAATATCATCTGGTCAAAAAGTTGGACTACCGTGGTGGTATCCAGCTAACAACGATTGACTAAACTGGTGGCCTGGCGCACACAGATAATATTAAGGTAAGCTTTCTCTCTATTCTGAGCCTCAAACACTTAGCGGCTGGGTCATCAATTTACTAATACTAATTTATTTATACTAATGATAATATGCCCATGGTGTTCAAAAGATGCGAAACGCTACCCTAGGATTGGAAACTGGTTGTCTGGCTAATACCCGACAGCATGCAAGCACAATAGCCGGTGAAAGTGGTTTAAATAGAGAACGGCACTGCTACCGATTTCGCTCTCTTGAAGGTCGTGTTTGGTATACCTAAAGCGCGATCGGTAACTGCGAGTTTGAGACATCGGTAGGTCAAGTGATGAGATTTATAAAACAAAAGCATGTGAGTCGTTGTTCGATGGACGCGAAGTGTGGCCGGTTCGAATGGATGGTATGGTAATGGATGTATGTAGGGGATCACCGCCGTGCGTTTGCAACACTGTCGTTGCAGCAATCAGGTAGAAAATTGCTACTTTGAGAACATGAAATTGTAATTCGGTAAATCTCGCCCACTGCGCAATGGAGCTGGTGTAATCACGTCTAACGTAAGGCATAGGGGAGTGCATACTACACCGCGCTCTAACTGCACCCGCAGCGATTCACTGGATAACAGAGCAAGGGGACTAACCTTGCACTTAATGACAAAAGTTAAAGTCACTGGGATCTGCTGGATTCATGCTTATTCTGGTTGAAGACCGAAAGATAAAAAAAGCGACAAGTAGAAACACAGTAAAATACGATGGGCTATCGGACTGAATGGTGGAGCTCTGCATATAGCTGCTTCGCTTCAGGAGCTCGACGCGAAACTTAAAAGATGACAAACATCGCTGTATGAAAGATCCAATACATCAGTTCGTTTATTCAAGGGTTATCAATCTCTTGTTCCTTCCACTTCTGCGAGTTATACCAACCTGGATATATATATATATATATATATATATATATATATATATATATATATGGAAAAGGCGACGATTAGGTTGAACAGGTAAGTACCAGCGCTTGGTAACTGCGCTATATCATCGCTGCCATTGGTCCGTACGTGCATGTGTGCTCAGTTTCTAGCGTTTTATGTGTCTGCTAATTGCTGTCACTGGTCTGACTACGCTTGATGCGAATGTTGACAGGATGACTACTTGCCGAAAAACGCCACCTCGATTACTGCCCCCAAGAGATTGTTGATCGTTGCTAAGGAAGGGGATGTACGGTCTTTGTGACAGCGCTAGACTAAAAGATGGTTATAATCAACGGTCTACGACCCAGTCACCGCACTGTGTACATCTGGTATGCACGCCACCTCAGTCTGAATGAATTGTGTGCATGTCTAAATCAATCGTGACTGCTGTCCACATTCCACCAGGTCTAACTTTTTGGGGGTTACACCGGTTTGTGGGTGGAGCTGCGGAGCATGCAAGGAAAACACTTAATAGCCGAACGCATCCAGTGTCTGTTCGCAGTCTCAGTGACAGGATACTCCAAAATCGGATGCCCCAACAATATAAATAAATAAATGCTTTATTCCCGACAGTGCGAGGTACACCTGTGAAGGCATGATGATGAAATACAAACTGTTATGGCCGATAATTGTGAAAAATATGGCAAGTTAAATAGTAACACTGGATTTGTGTGTATGTATATATGAAAGTGTTTGTGTAAGCGCAGGGGCCATACTCTTCTTCCTCTTCTTCTCTGTATCGCTCCAATTGTAGTATACGTCCCGCGCCATGCTGAGGCTGATGTTGCATTTTTGACGCTTCTTCACCGCAGTTGGGCTAAAGCAAGCTACACTTAAACTAGGTCTTTTAAGCTGGATAAATTGCATTTCACTTTATTTGGTTTGTTCTGCCTTTCTGAATAATCTTCTGTTAACTGGCCACGTTGCTTACGCTAATAACGCTTATCTTCGATAACTTCATTGCGTTTGTAGCATTTTTAAGTAACTTGTGGACATTTTTTCCTTATCGCGGATTCGTTACTAACCAACTTACTTCACATGCTAATTTAGCGAAGAGTTATGCCCCCGTATCTGTATGCATTATTGGATTTGTTTTATTTCCTCTTGTCGTTTCAAGTGATTGGCTGTTGTTTGACATCCCAGGTGTGACTGCGCTTGATGTGCATGTTGACAAGGTGCCTACCTGAATATTACCCACTACCTTGTCCATACAGGCTCCAAGAGACAGTTGTTCGTTGCTGGAGGGGACGGGGTGCGCGGTCCTCGTGGCCGTGCTAGGTTCGAAGTGCGGTTCCACGCACTCAGTGTGGCGCGGACTACGGTCCAGTCACCGCCTTGTGTGCGCTTCATTCCCCAAATACAGTGTGCTTGTGTTTGCCTGTGAAGGAGTGTGGGCCGACTCCGTCGATGAAAAGTGGTTCCCATCCACATGTCTCCCGGTCTTATTCCTTCGGGTTTACACTGAATATGGGGTGTGTGGTTGGAACTGTGGGTAGTGCAGCGCAAGCCACCCATGGTCCCTCTGTAGGCGCAGGCGTCCTGTGGCTGGCCATAGTGACAGGCAAATCCGAAACCGGATGCCTGCAACCATGTATGTGTATGCTGACATGGTGAGTCAACTTGTGAAGTGTGACTGAATTCGTGAGTTTGTTTGCTGTGTTCGCCATCGTATGAAGAGATCAAAGAAACGCTTCGAACTGAACGACGTCCGTGAAGTGGGAAAGATCCTCCGGAAGGAGAAGGGGTAGCGACATTATTTATTGGCGAGTTACATCCGCCACGTCGCGGTGTTGTTAACCTGATCTTTGTGGTTTTGTATAGGGAGAACGTTTGCCAGGCGAAACCACACCACGTGCTGGAACACTGCTGCCGAACTATTCGCTGGAACAGGATTAACCCAAAGCATATATATATATATATATATATATATATATATATATATATAATGAAACCGTCAGTGTAAAAATTTATGATTCCGCAATATCACTGCATGAGCGGAATGCATGTGTCCAAAAGAGCACCTAAAGGGCACAATGACGGGTGAGGCGCAGGGGGAAAGTAAGTCATATTTAACAAGCATCGTACAAAGGAGGAATCTGAAGTGGAATGGTTAGCATAGCTCATTAATGAGGATGTAAACTGTGACCATTTAATCACATGTATGAATTGATCTCACCAGTCGAGTAGCAAATGGAACTTGGTGAGTTAATAATTTGTCATATGCGGTAGAATGACACTGGCAAACACTTGACGGATACACAAACAGGATAAACAACCGGGGCAGTGAGAAATGAAAAGAAACTTGCCTCCTGTAAGTTATACCATTGGCACGAAACCTGACAACTGGTGAGTGCCACACAACAGCGAACTCGAAAGTTGCCCGCCCAGGTGCCGGAGAATCGCCAGAAGTCTTGACAGGAGTTTTGAAAGGAGGTACTGTACAAGTGCCACTGACCATCATTGCTATTTGGGGAGCATGCTCTCTGAAGGCATGGATATTTGGAAGACGGAAACCATCTATAAGCGGTGAGAAGAACACTGATAAGAGAATGGAAGATGTGACAAAAATCTCAGGAAAACAGGAAAACTCAGTGGACAACAATGACCACAGTTATGTTTATGACGTTTCACGTTCGTTAATATCAGACCTCATGCAGGGTTCCGAGTACGACTGTAAGGCAGACATTGCCACAGGCCACTAACTTCAACTTTGTTGTCTTGTTGGAGTTTAACACCAATACTCAACTGTTGCTATCATAGCAATGTGGAAAATTCACTCAGAATCCATGTCTTTTGAAAGTCGGATCAAACGGTGACCGCAAAACTGAGTGAAAGCAGTTGGTGGCAGTCGAAGTGTTCGCTGAGTTTGGCAAGTTTGTTGCAAAAGTTTAGCCACCAATCGAGGTGATATCATCAGTGTGATGTTGATTAGCGTGTAGCGTGGGTACATATTTGCAACAAACTTGTCAAGCTCAGCGAACATTTCGTCGGCCACCAGAACAAGGTGAGCTATCAATTTTCGCTCTTTCTCCAAGAACAGCTGGATGCACTCCGGCATCAAATCCCACAGCATTAGTGTAAGACGTGATCCAGTTGGAAAAGTGTTACGCAAAGATTACTGTGGTATCGAATATCGGTTTTCCGTCCGTTCGTATTGGTCTTATCTGTTGACCAATTGATTCGCACAAAGAGATGAAGTGGAAATAGTCACCTCGAATCTTCTCGACACAATAACAGTGATAAAATAATAACCACACCAATAACAAAAAGTATTAAGCCAGAAGATGCTGGCTGGCAAGTGGTACAAATACTGTGAAAAAGCCGACATAGCGCAAGAGACTGAATGCAGCAATCCGAGAACAGCCTTGGCCCACAAACCCATATCACATAGACTTGGCAACAGAATAAATAGGAAGGGTTCTTCCCTCGCTACACTGCATTACATAATAATAATAAAACAAATAATGTGTCCGCTGTACGCCGTCACGGCGCTTCGCTGCCGCGCGACCACCACCAGTCGCGCGCGGGCTGAGTATACCGCGAGGACGCCCACCCCTACGCGGATTCGAACCGGTGACCTTATGGTTGCAAAGCAAACGTGCAGACCACTAGGCCACCGGCCGACTGCACTGCACTATCCGACCGGTTCCACTTCAACATGGGCCGCGTGTCGTAATCCGCGCACACAACGGGTACTTCCAGCCAACAATCAAAGAGACGCAACAACAATACGTCGGCACGCAGTACCGACGATTCGCTGCCGCGCAATCACCACCGGTCACACGTGGACTAAGAATACTTCGAGGGTTACCATACCACAACGCAGCTTCGAAACCGCGTCCGCGGATTATAAGACAAGCTTCAGACCTAAAAGCCATCCATATGGAAGGACCTGAGGAACCTAAATATGGAAAATAACGTACAATAAACGCACAAAACGTGCAATTTTTCATGCACTATCGTGGTAGAGGATGAAAGTTTGGAAGGCCAAACGGAAAGTTGGGGGAATATGACCAACTAGACAGTCGCATGTTTGTGGTCAACGACGCCAGCAGAGAACCACTGGCACATTAAGTTGAAGCAATGGTGAAGCGAGTAGTACAAACTAAACTCACCAATGCGCAACAGCGCGTTAACGGAAATTGGTCGTGGAGCAAAAACAGACGGAACGAATGATTGCATGGTATAAATAGTCGGCCAGTAGCAGAACGGACACGTTGTAATCTGGAGGTCACCGTTTGGAATCCGTGTAGGTGCGGGGACCACCAAATATACCCAGCACACGCGCAATTGTGCGTGTTGGTGAAGCGTCGGTAAGATGTGTCGGTATCGGCGGTGGAAATAGCGGGCGGGTTGTTTGGCACCAAGTCCAATTCGATGGAGGCTCAACACTAGTTCGGTTCTTTGAAGGCTGCGCAACACTAGCATCATGCCATTCAGAAGGTGAAGCCATCGCGCGTGGACAATAGTACAGGAAGTAAACAACCAAGTTCAGGCCAGATGCAACAAAGTTTACAACGAAAAGGCTAAGTGACATGTAGATGTGTGCGTTGGTCGTTCGGTTCCCAGTGATAATGACAAGCAGCAGGCTCTCAAATGCAAAATTGCCAAAAGATTGTAACGCAGCATTGCATACCTCCATTTAATCACAATTCATATACCCAGACATCTCTACAGAGGACTTCGGCCTTCGAAAACCAGTAACCTCCTTGGCAACATTATTAGAGAAATAAACCACTTCCAACAGACGTATAGGAAATGACAAACAGTGATGGGTCGACCGAGTTACGGAATAGGACTGTAAAAGGCACATGCCGAGGCGTGCAGTGTTGCTTTGTTTGTTTGTAAATGGCGCGCTGCTGGCGAGTCCCAAAAGGATGAAACTGCCGTCTAGCACTTCATTGGATAAGAAGTGGCGGTCTGATTGCGACAAATCTTCTCAACGACCTCATTGATCGAGCTGACTGACTGTGTAGCCTCGTAGAACGGACACGCTCTAGTGTGTTTGGGTGAATTGCTAAGCTAGTCGCCGCCTAACCAATCGTTCTGATTCACTTGGCCAAATCAAACAACTTCCACCACAATGGAGATTGGTGACAGCTGCACAGAAGACAGTGTTCAATGCTACAAGCAGTATTGACACAGTGACTGGAACGGTCGAAGGTTGGTAGCTGGTTGCTTCCTCTTCGGCAATGACAGAGGAAGGTAGTTGGGGGCGAGATATTATTCGCCACGCCAACAGCGGCAGATCGTGTGAAACTGTTGCCGACCTGGGTAACCATCGTAATTTACTCTGTCTGATACGCGAAACGGGCAACAGGAGACCTGGTGTTAGCTAGACCATACACGTTAATCCACAGATTGTGAAAACGTTCGCAGTGTTGGCCCATACACTTTGAAAAGGAGTCTAATCAGACAGCGTTGCCAGTTTCTCTATCATCCATTGATTGCCTTTTTCCGTGGGGTTCCCGTAGGATCCGCACTCACACGCAGTAGTCGAAGGTGAGATCGGCTGTTGGAATTACATAAGGCCGCAGGAGCAGATAGACTTCGTCCAGTATGCTTCAAATTCGGTAGACCTCTTACTGTGGATGATTTGCCGAAATTGCAAGTGAAGAGCCACTCCGCTATAGTCTCAATATTCAAGGGAAGCTCACGTTCGGAATGCTGTAATCATAGAGGGATCAGCGCGATCTCCATCATCTCCGATGGCTGGGCCACGTGTTGTGTGTGTGCCAGTACACGGAGTCCCGCGATACGCGTTGTTTGTGTGTCCGGGATCTAGAAGGAATAGGATAGGAGGCCAACCGAAGAAGTGATCAAGAGGAAGGCCCTCACTTCAAGCATGGGCTCGGTTGGTGAATCCCGACTCAACAGTTGGGGTACGAAAGACGATGAGCACGTCTGAGTGGATAAACTTACTGATCTCGGCCAGCAGCCGACCTCAGTGGCGTTTGTGTTGAGTACCTTTGTCTCACCACATCCACCTCAGCCTACCACTCAACGGACGGTCTCAGCACGGATGCATGTTAAAAACAAAGCACAATACGAAACGCTTTGTTTTTCATTATTCTGTGCGTTTTTCCACTCCTTGCTTTTGCATCTACGTAACTGACTTGTATTGAGGCACAATAACTCAGGTGTCTAATAGTTGTACCTAACATGACGCAATGCTATTGATCCATGAAAACAAGCGCATATTCGTTAATGAGAGAGTCGCTGCATTTGGAGAGAGTGAGCTTCAGCCAGTGATAAGGCGTGGTAGAGGATAGCACAAATCATCGATCCAAACAGAGCTCAGACACGGTGTAAGCACCCCCTGTTGAATGCAAAAAGCCGCATGAAGGACTAGCAATGGGATGCAAGAAGGGCTGGCGATTGATATAAAGGTCTGGTTACAAGTCGGCATATCCGTATGACTTATCCGATTTATTTTATTTGATGTCCTCATTCCAAGTAATTGGCTGTTGCTTGACATCCCTGGTGTGGTTGCGCTTGATGTGCATGTTGACAAGGTGCCTACCTGAATATTACCCACTACCTCGTCCATATTGGCTCCAGGAGACAGTTGGTCGTTGGCTGGAGGGGACGGGGTGCACGGTCCTCCTGGCCGCACTACGCTCAAGGAGTGGTTTCATTCACTTAGTGAGGAGCGGACTACGTTCCAGCCACCGCCTTGTGTGCGCTTGATTCCCCAAATATTGCGTGTGAAGGAGCCTGTGAAGGAGTGTGGGCCGGCTCCGTGGTTGAAACGTGGCTCCCATCCACATGCCTCCCGGTCTTATTTCTTCGGGTTTACACTCGACATGGGGTGCGTGGATAGAGGTGTGGGTGGTGCAGCGCAAGCCGCTCATGATCCCTCTGTAGGTGCAGGCGTCCTGGGGCTGTCCTATGGAAGCTCAGAGCGACAGGCAAATCCGCAACCGGAGGCCGCCAAGCATGGTTACAAGCTAGTGAAAGCATTGACGAGATACCTGTTTCCATAAACGGTGATCGTGAAGCAATACCCAAATGCAGTTGATCCACATATCGAGCAATGCTAGTGTCAGTCAGTCAATATTGGGCAACAGACGCAACAGTAACGACTTGAGCTCCCTAACTGTCTGCGAGTTCTTCTCACACCACCTGAAGAATGAAAACTCACTCATTATTCACAGCATCACGGGGGTTCAAGCTTTTGATGAAGGTGGTCTCACTCGACAACGTGATCGGCAAACCGATCACATGACTACCCTTATCAACAAGGTAAAAATGATGCGGTCCAGGGGTGATGAAAGGTTTGATGGAGTGCAAAAATGGCATAAAATGCATTTGAAAGATAGCGTAAGTAATGTAACAAGTTACAATCAAACTGCCCTTAGAGTCGTTCGACACTAGACTCCAGTCCACCGAGAGAGAGAGAGGGAGAGCAATTTCCGGGGCCTGTGACTCCAGAAAGTCTTACTTCCGAAACGGACCACTGCGTGACACAAGCAACTGATAGAAAGGCAACAACTTTTTCACAACTTACTGAAACC